AATATTTATATATATATATTTATATATTATTATTTTTATTTTTATTTTTATTAATTAATATTATTTTTATTTATAAAAATATCATTATTATTTTTAATAATGTATATAATTAAATTAATTAAATTAAATTAAATTAAATTAATAACATATTCATTATAAAATATATTTATTAACTAAAAAAATGTAATTTCTTTTAATATCTATAATTTAAAAGTTATATTTAATATTTTAAGCAATTAATTTTTTTTTATATAAACAATTTACAAATTAATATGATTTATTTATAATATATATTTTTTAAAATCATAACTCTATAATAATTCTATCAATTAAATAATTTTATTTTTAAAAAATACATTATTTTTATTTAATGTATATTTATTTTATAAAATTTCTAAAAATATTCATTATATATAATATTTATTATTTATTTTAGTTTAAATTTATTATCAAATATACATTTATATATGATTTAGTATAAATTATAAACTTTTATATATTTTTGTTTTTAATAGATTTATTTATAATAATTTTTTAAAAATAAAAAGATAGCTATATATATATATATATTTAATGAAAATTTTTAAATATGATTTTTTATAAAAAATAAATATTTAAAATACTATTTGAGTGATTTCAATCATTTTTTGTTTTATAAAATAAAAATAAATAATAATATAATATTTAGATTTAAATAATTATTATTTATTTTCAAAATTTATTCTTTTAATTAATAAATGGAATAAATATATATATTATTTAAACTTTTAAATTGATAAAAAATGTCTTATAGTTTTACTAAATTTAATATTTATAATAATATTTGTATGTCATATATTTGTTTTATTAAGATATGTTTTATAAACTTTCTAAAAAATGTATTTAAATAGAACTTAGAAATGAATTATGGTAAAAGTAATTTTAGTAACTGATTTTTATGTAATATTTATTTATTCATTTTACTATCATAGATTTTTTAAAATCTAATAGAATATATATTTTATAATTTTACAACTAGAATAATATATGCTTATTTATTGAACTGTATAGGAAACATTATATATAATATGTAAAATGATAATAGTAATTATAAAACAATATATGTATGTAGTTTGTATTTTAATGAGGGAAGGAAATATAAATTAATAAATTAAGAAAAAAATTATTAATCTAATTAAAATATTTAAATATAAAATAATGAATTAATAATAATAAATTGATATATATAAATTATTAAAAAAATTTTATAGTAAGTGTTACTTTTTGCTGTTTTAAAGAATTTATTTAAAAAGTATGATTATGAAATAATATACCTTTTTTTAAATATCATCAGGAGAAATTATTTTTATTTAAAATGATAAAGATGATTATTAATTATATTTTTTTCTACAGTAATAGGTGAATTTTAATTGATTCTTGAATCTTAAAATCAAAATAAGTAAGAATATATAAAAAAGGATTTGTTTACATTAGAATAATTTGTAAGAAAAATAAAAAGAAACTTTTAGTTAAAATAAATGATTATTTTAGAATTTTTAAAATTGAAAGAATATAATTTTTGTTGAGTTAATAAAAGAATATGATTATGAAATTTTTTTTTTATTTTTTTTCAAATGCTTAATTTAAATCATTATATTTAAAATAAAAAATTAAATAAAGTTATTTATTAAATTAAAATTACTATAATAAGGATATGTTGTCAAAAAGTGTATTTAGTTTTTTAGAAAAATCAAAATATTCATTATAGCTAATTTTTCTTAAAAATATACAAATATATTCAATATAAATAAAACTATGAGTTTTTATCTTTAAAATTATAAATAATAATATTTATTACTTTTTTATTATTAAAAAAAATAATTTAATAATGAAATAAAATAAATATAACTTAAAAAAATAATTTGTATAATGGGTATTTTATTAAAATTAATTTTATATATTATAAATATATTGCTGATATATTAATAATATATATAGAGTTTAAAATAAAATAAAAATAATAATTAATAAAGATATATCTTATAATTATTATTTACTAAAATAAATAAAACAATTTAAATAATTTATCAATAACACTCTGATATTTTATTTAAAAATAAAACCATATATTTAATGGATTATAACTAAAATAATGTTAATTTTGAAAACTTATATCTATAATTATTTTTAATAAAATGAAATTAATATCATATAATTTAAAAAAAAATTAAATTACAAATATCTATATATGAATAATTTATTGAATTATTAAATTAAAAGCTAATTAGGTTTTTTTTTTTTTTTCAGTTCAACAATAATTATAATATAATTAAAAAAAAAAAAAATTGATTTTTATTTTCCCTTTTATATATTAAAAAATTAGATTTAATTTATTGAAAAATTATAATGAATAATAAAGAATATATATACAGATATCAAAAAATAAAATAAAAAAAAATAATTTAATATTTTTTAAATAAAAATGAAACAGCAAAAATATTTAAAGAAAAAAAAAAAAATATTAGATAATAATATTAACATTACTATTTTAATAAAAAAATTTAAAATATAATTATAATATATACATAAATAATAATTGTAAAAAATGAAAAGAACTAAGGAAGCTTATTTCAGAGATCATTTACAACCACAATAAATGTAAGGATGTTCAGGCGTTAAAGAATTAGAAGGAGAGGATTTAGGTAATATAATTTTATATACTATAAAATAAAAAGGTATATAAATAATAAATATTTGAATTAAGCTTATGATTCTAGAAATAAATATAATAAAAACTAATAAAAATAATGGTTCGAATAATAAGTAATAGAGAAAAAATAAAATGATGAAGCAATAAGATAAGAAGAATAAGATTACGCAGAATAAACTTTTGAATTAACAAGAATGAGGTTTATTAATTAAAAATAAATATTTATTTTATATTAATTAATATATAAATAAATCAGAGGCATGCTAGAAGATGATTTTAATAGAAAAAAAGCGGCTATGAGAGAATAAATGAAATAAGAAAATCTAAAAATTGTAACATATTGTTTTTTATTTATTTTTAATAAAAAATAAAAATAAGAGTAGAGAAAAAGCTGAATTATAAAAAAAACTTAAAAATGAAAAATTATAATACGAGTAAAATGAATCTCATTATTTGTAAGTTAGAGGATAAAAACGTCCTTTTCCATGAAAAAAGGAATATTAAAAATATTAATAAATAAATATAATAAAAAATAATTATTATATAAAATATATATATATATAATTTATATATATATATAAATAAATGTTTTATATTTATTAATTTTTTAATTTTTTTTTATTATTTTTAATATATCAATTATAATTTTATACAATTATTTATAAATATTTAGAATAAAATGCTTAAAATTAGTAATTTATATTATGAAAAATATATTTTTTTTTTATATTCATATATATATAATTTTAATATATATTTTTTTTCAACTAAAAAATCTTATAATTTCTTTCACTACTTATTCTTTTTAAAAAATATAAATTTATATTTGTATTACGTTTTAATTTATAAATACTTTTTTCTATATATTTTAATTCTTATTTCATTTCTTAAATTTCTTTAACTATTTCAATAAAAGGAGGTCTATCTTAAGGTTTTCTATTTAAACATTTTTTCATTAATTTTAAATATCTAGGATTTCCTCTTTTTGGAATTTCTACTTCATAATTTTCATCATACCCTACTGTCCCGTAAATTTATTAATGAGAAAGTCCTTTATGTGGAATTTATTTTGTAGCTATTTCCCATAATATCATTCCAAACGAATATATGTCTGAATGTTCCTAATATTATTCCCTTCTCATTACTTCAGGGGCCATCCATTAAGGAGTTCCAATTAGCCCTTCTTCTTTTTTTTCATTTTTTTTTTTATTTAGTTTTGACTTTATTCTTGATAAACCAAAATCGCATAGTTTTATATTCCAATTTTCGTCTATAAGTACATTAGAACTTTTTAAATCACAATGAAGTACTTTTCTACCATGTAAATATGTCATTCCTAAATAAAAAAATATATATTTAGATTTAATTTAATTTTTTTAACCTAAAGCTATATCTTCTACTATATTAAAAATTTGTTTTTATGTTAAATTAATTTATTTTTTATGTAAATAATCAAACAATGAACCTTAGTTTAAATATCTTTATATATGTAATTTAAAATATATTTATAATTTTAATTTAAAAAAAAATACTCAGTGATCATAAAGTATTAAGATTAGTGTAAGCATATACCCATATATAAAACTATATTAGGATGTCTTAAATTATTAATAACTCTAACTTCACATATAAAATCTTAAACTCGTCTAATATGAATTCTAGAATTTTTTTTACCAAATTACTTTAATTATATAATAAAAATAATAAATAAATTTAAAAATATTAAAAAAATAAATATAAAATTATTAAATTATATAATTATATAATTATTTATATATATTTATATATATTTTATATATTTATATATATTTATATATTTATATATTTATATATATTTACTTTAATAGCCACATCTTATCCTAACCAATTTCCTCTGAATACTTAACCATAACTTCCTTCTCCTATTTTGTGCCCGAATTCTAATTCTTAAAAATTTATTACGAAATTTTAATTTATTCCACTTTATTTGAGCATTTCTATAATTTTTGTTTCTATATCATCTGATGAAAAGTATTTGTATTTATTTTTTTATTTTTTCATTTTGCACACGTATTATTCTTTTAATTTTTTCTTTTCGTTTATTGGTGATACCCTAGATATTTCTTATTTATGTTCTTACTTAAATTTTGTTTTAGGCGTTTTTTATAAAACATTTTTTTACAATTAATCGTCTGAACTAACCTCGCTTTTATTTGCGTTTTGATTTTACTTGTAATTTTCTGCATCTGAAGTATCCGAAGAAGATGAAGTCGATGATTCTGCTTATTATTAATTTGTAATAATATTTAGTTAAGGTACCGAGTAATTATAATTATTGAAGTTTTCAGAAATAATAATATTATTAATATTATTAGAATTATTGTTATTTATTATGATATTATTATTAATTGTTTTAGTAACCGAATTAGTATTTATTTATATGGCTTTTGGTGAATGTTTTTCCTATTTTTTTTTATTATCATCGCTATTTTTAATATTAGTATGATGTTCCTTTTCCTTTTTTTTAAAAGAGTTTTTTTCAAAAAAGACATGTTATTGTATAGGAGTAGTAGCATTTTTTGTCTGATTTTTTTTTATATCTTTTTCATTTATGCTTTTTTTCTATAATATTAATTCGTCGTTTGATTTATATTTTTTAAAACCATTTTTTTCTTCACTTGAACTAGTTTCGTTTTTACTTATGTCTGAATAAAATTCTAGGTTTATTTTTTTTCTTTCTTTCTTTTTTTCACTTTTTTTTATTATTATAAGTTATTTATTTTTTTCATTATTGTTTGTATATTCTTTCTCTTTTTTATTGTGTTATTTTTGTTTATTTTCAACTTTTTTACTCTTTTATTTCTTTAATTTCTAGTTTTTAGTACCTTTCTTAAATATTTATTTTAAATCTTCCTCACTTTCATTTTCATTATCAGCATAATTATTATTAATATCTTATATTTGCTTTATTAAAAATAATATATATGTATATATATATATTTTTTTTAAATTATATTTTAAAAAATTTATATTAACTAAAAATAGATTAATTCTATTTTTTTTGTTATTAGAATTAAATTTTTATATAAAAATAAAATAAAAATGATATATATTTTATTGTAATTTAAAATACATTTTCATTATCTAAAGAATCTGAATTTCCCCTCTTTTTTAAAGAGTGTTAAGTTTCTGTATTTATATTTTTACTATCTAATAAATTTTAAAATTTATTCTCTTCATATTCGTCGTCTGCGTGGTTACTTTCAATTTTTATTAAAGTTATACTTTATTATTTTTATAAATTCATATTTTATTTATTTTAATTTTGTGATCTTTTTTTCGATAAGTTTTCAATTTTTTTTCTATTAGAATTTTCCATATCTTATGCTTTTGGTTAATCTTCCAATAAAAAACTATTTTCATTGTTTTTTTACATTAAATCTTTTTTATTTTTTCCCGAATCTATTTAATTATTTTAGATTTAAAAATACATTTTATATTCATTGAAAAAAAAAAAAAAAAAAAAAAAAAAAACCCGGAAAAACCTAAATTATTAAATAAAAATCCCCCTCCTCCTCCCCCAAAAAAACTTCAAAAATTATAAAAAAATTTCCCATAATTAAAATTTTTTTAATTTTAAATAAAATAAATTTGGGCTTTTTTTAAA